AAAAAAACACACACACACAAAACCATGAACGAAACATAAAGCTCGGTTTATGTGCCCTCCACGCTGCTAAAAGCAAATACCTTGGAGCCTGCCAGCCTGCCAGCCCAAACCGAGCCTCCCGTCTTCTGAAGTCGACGGGTTTCATTGCCGTGGCTCTGTGCAAGCCCGACATCTTTTGGAAGGACTTCGTTGTGCAGCAGATTGATCGGGTTTCTTGGTGTGGGCATGTTTCCTGCATGTTGTCGTCACTGCCATCACAGCCACTGTGCTTCCTGATGGTGGCTGTCATTGCGGGCTGATTCTGTGCTCCAGGATGGGCACCCGCTTCGCTTCTTGGCTCAGCTCTTAGGGGGATGTCAAGGGCTCACTGCTTGAAAGCTTCAGCTTACAATGTGAATTCTTGCAATCAAGTTTCGAGCAAAAGCCCTGCGATAGACATAAAGAAGCACTGGCAGTGGCTGCAGCTTGGGATGCACATCACATCTGGTAAGCAGTGGTATCTAGCTACGACCATATCGTGGCGCTGCGAACAGCGTCACCCACGACTGCACCAGCTTCGGCTAGTCCTCCCTGCTCTGTTCAGCTTCCGGTCGCCGACATTTTGGTCAGAGCTGACATGAGCTGACGGAACTAACACTCCCAACGCTCTTGCTACTAGCGAGCTGTATTCTGATTCCCGGCCCGCAGAACTGACCTTACTTACTCGCAGCCTCACAACAGTGAAAGCAACAAAGCTATGTCGTTGTGGACTTGGGGCCTAAATCCTGAATACCACCTCGCGTGGGCTAGTTGCAGATCCTTTGCTGCAACATTGTCAGGCAAGATCTGGTCCTAAAGCACAGCTGTTTGCAAGGTTCAAGAGACCGTCTAAGCATGTTTCGGAAATCAAGCTATGCCGCTAGCATCTTTGAGGATTTGCAGCCCTGCTTAAGCGCCAGGCCCAGGCAAACCCTCGATCAACAAGGCGTTGCACCAGGCTTCCCAAGCTGTCAACGCAGTGCGGAAGGGTCCAGCCGGTCCTGTGGAGGTGGCTGCCCGCAGGTTGGAGCTCGAGTTTGTGAGAAAAAGCAGGCCACGAAGCTGAGCACAGCTAGAGGCTAGAGTTCAGAATAGATGCCAGAGGTCGGTTTGTCGTCGCAAACTTATGTCGAACCCGCCGGCAACACTGGAATTTGTCTCTCGCCACTTTCGGCTGAAAACCCTTGGGCGATGGCAAAAACCGACTCTGGGGGCCCGGGCCCCTCAGAGATGCGTCACTCCTGGTCGCGCCTCGCACAAGGCCGGGAACCGGGCCCTCTCTCTCGGCTCCTTCATTGCTTTTGTATTGGGGGTTCCTGAAGCTGCAGAGCGCTGCGGCTTCAGACCAAGATGCTCAAGGACTTATCGTACTTCCGCACATGTGAAAGGCAGAGACGGCACGCTCGCAATCCGACCGGACGCTTTCACTGCCCGCAAAACTGTCAGAACATGTTGTGGGCTGCTGTGTGCATCCTCTCGCAGCTAAAGGTGCTGTGAAAGTGGCCCGAGGGCCTCGAATTCCACAAAAGTTTGGGGAAGGAAAACTGCCATAGGGCCATTAGGTATTCCGTATTCCGTGCTCGGAGCAGGCACCTCAGGAAGTCTGCAAACCGCCCTCCGTTCCTAGAGTCCTAGAGCCCTTCCCTGGGGTGCCTGCAGGGCCCTGTAAGCCCGAAAGAGCACAAGGCTTCTTGTGAGCCAAGGGAGTTGCCTTTGCAGTCTGTTTCTTCCAGACTGCCAGGACTCGAAGAGGCGGCCTCAAAAGGAAAAACGGGGCCAAATGCAAAGAAGTTAATTGAACTCCGATGCTCATCCTTCTCATGGGTACACGGTCTCCGGCATGATGGGTGTGGGAGGAAGCTGCGACCAATCGGAGATCTGGTTCACCTTGGTTTGGAAGGCCGGTGAACTCATCGCGTTCTCGCGGGCATTGAATCTCACGGCTGGCCCAACAGTTAGGCAGTGGCAAGTCCTGGAAGCCTCACCCGGACTGAAAGTTTGCAGTCTAACCAAACGTTGCAATTCGGAGCACATGGTGTCGCCGCTGCATTTGATCGGCCATGTCTCGAGAGATGCAGTGAGAAGGCGCCTCGATGCAAGATCTGCTTGGACGAATCAGGCTGGACAGTTTGGGGAGAACGGAAGGTGCAGCTACTCTGCGCGAAAGGGTATGCCTCTGCATGTTTCCATTCGTTCACCAAGGGTCAGTGCGTGTCATTTAGTTTGACTAAATCGGAACAGCCTGTCAAGTTCTCTGTGCACGCTGTTTGTCGAGACCAGTGATACTTGATCTAGGTCCCGAAGCTCAGACAAATCGTGCTATGAGCGATACATTTGGCCACGCTGGCTATCTCCAACAAGCTCATGCAGCGGCTTTACAAGCTGAAGTTCATCTTCAAGCCCCTTTGCAACCCCAGCGCATAAACAACAACGCAATGGAACTGCCACGGCACCGATCGGGTTGGGTGCGCGAAACTCTTGGCTGTGTGGGATTCGAACTCCTGCGGAGCTTAGCCGGCAAACTGACGACAATCCATCCCTTTTCGCGCCTAGCGAGTTTCTGAATCTCAACACACTGAAAAAAGTGTGAAGCAAAAGCGCAGGGAGGCAATGTTGGTTGTCTAAACGGTGAGCTTGGTGCTTATGCTACCCTCAGGTGACAGCACTCCAACTGGGCTAACAGATGCATCCACTGCGGCAGCCTTCTGCAGGGCATAGTAACTGTCGGTAAGCTTGACCGTGTCTTGCCCTTGAAGGAATCCGGGCGTCAGCACCAACCCGAACTCGTTGTTCTCCATCGAAAACCTCACATAAATACAAGAATTAGTCTGCCAGAGGTCAAAAATCACGAGAGCTTACAGAGGAACCAGGATTGGTAGGGAAGGGATGAAGTCACACAAAAATTGAGGTTGGGATACGAGGCACAACGACTGTGCTCCAAAACAAATGTTGCATTTGCCGGCATTGTGCCGAGGACTCATGAATTGCTGTCACCAGGCTATCACGATGCCTATCGCAAAAGAGTGTTTGTGGCATCTATGGGCATCTGCGCACTGATGAGGGGCTGGTCTCTGCCCAGCCGCTCGAAGGCCACCGCTCCACTGACGAGGTCGCTCATCTTGTCCATCATAACCCCGACCTGACCAATCATCGGAGTGGCTTTTACTGGATCTAGGCAGTCGGGAGTGTCTGTCTGCATCCAACGGCTTGGTTCACTATACCACAGCAGGTAACCGCTACCAGCCCACGCTCCACCACTCAGTACTGGGCGCATCACTTGTCACTGGTTCTCACCTTCCACACGTGCACTCTTCCAGCCTGCGGCCACGTTCGGCCACCTTTGTAAGCCGGGCAAGACCACCTTGGAAATGCTGCCAGTGCTTTCAGGACCCATCGGTTTTTGCGCCTTTACGCATCGGTTGCACCGCGAGGTGTGCAGTTGTGGTTAGCTGCTGCGGACACCGAGAGGCAGTGCAGCCATGTTGCGGAAGAAAGAATGCACCGCACCCTCCTTAGCTGAATCGCAACCTCGTCGCTGAAAGCTGCCGATGTTGCAGCCGAACTCGGTGAAAAGGAATGGCCTGCAGCAGAATTTGGCCGCACAAGCTTGGTGCACACCGTCGATTCCAATTGAGGTACGGTATGGATAGATCAGATCTTCTTTAAACTTAGCCGGCGCTACAATACGTCTTGTCTGAAATGCTTCTTGGTTACAAGCGATCCCATTGCTAGCCCTTTCATTACTGCATGGCTATGGTCGTCACGATGATCATGGCGGTCACTGCAACTATATTCCGAGGTGCGGTTACTAGGAGTTTTCACTAGCACTACCACAACGGCACGAAAAGATCCCTTTCGCAAAGCGGCTTCGAGAAGGAAGCGAAGTCATCTGCAATCGACTTGTACGGGGAGTACTGGAAGCCTGCTGGTTTGGCGATGTCGCTGCATGCGAGGCCAATACGGGTAGTGTCAAGATGTTTCAAGTGCGACTGCTGCTGCCTGGCTCGACGCTTATGACTCCTTGCAAAATATTAATATGGGTTTCGATCAAAATTCGATCCACGACGACTCCTCCGGAAGGGAAAATGCAAGCAACTCGCTGTGTCTCTTTCACACGGTTGCGTCGGAGATGCTGCCGTAGGTCGGATCGCACCAGGAGTAGGCGTTGAGACCGAAGGCATCCACCTGCGAGTCCGAACATACACCGTGCCCACCTGCACCCAAGAAGGATGCCCTGAAAGTGCAACAAGACATCGTGAATCACAGCATGAGGAGATTTTGCTCCTGAGTGGTGCTGCCCCCATCTCAACAATCCAGCCAATGGAGCCCAAGGAGTGCTTGGGTGCACAACACAAATCGTACATGCAAAGGGCCCTCATAGAATGAATTCAAGAGGCTGCATCGTCGGGGCTTTCCAATGCGCAGGTCAGGTAGTTCGCGATGTGCAGGCGGTCCTGATGCTACAAGGAATTTTGGCTCCTGCAATTGAACGCGGAGCCCTGACAACTTTAGACCCGCTTCACGCACCCAAGGCATGCATCCCATTTCTACCTTCGCTGGATGCTCCGGGTGCCGCAAGCGTCCTTGTTTCCCTGGTCCTTGTCCGAGTAGATGAGTGGAACACTCCTGCTGTGTGCACCGGACACCAACAAGCTGGATGCTGGAACTACCCGAAAAACTCTTCACAACACTGCTCATAGCGGGCTCCTGTAGCCCTTCTCCTTCTGGTATCGATGGATGTCGCGCGTGAGCGCTTTCACCTTGGGGAATCAATTGTTGTCCCTGGCTTGGATGTACTGTTGGATCTGGGATGTGACGGAACCGGACTGTGAACGGCAGAAGCGGCATCTCGCACATTCTTACCTCACAAGCCTCGCTGCCGGCTGCCCTCGAAGGAAGGAGCGAGAGAGAGAGAGAGAGAGCGTGAGCGAGAGCAGAGAGCAGAGAGGCAGGGAGAGGTTGACAGAGGTGGAAAGCACAGGCGATCAAATCCCTCCAGGGCGCACAAGGGTATGCCGCCATGCCTTCCTGGCCACCGAGGTAGCACGCAAAATCCGCCAACGAGTTTATACCCAACCCTTTTGTACGCCCAGGCATCGGGAATGCACGGTTCATCAAACCGGAAATGTTTTGTCCACATCGCAGAAGCCAATTCTGGTCAGTGTGCAATGCGTTCTGTTGCTTTGGTACTGGGCCGTGGGGACTCAGGTGATGCCCTGCTGCAGCAGAAATGCGATCCGCCGTTGTCTGGGCAAGCGACTGCCCGGGTTCATGCTTTAGTAGACAGTACAAGCTTACTAGGTTGAGGCCGCCTAATTCGGAGACGGTCCTTGTCCAGTAGCTCAATTTCGTTCCCGACGACAAACATCAAGGTGTTCTCCTCAAGTCAGGTCTTAATAGAGACATGTCAGCAACTTAAACAGAGACTGGCTAAGAGGAGCCAGTGTTTGAGGGATGTTGTCTACAAGGCACCCCAACCACTCCAGCTGACGGAACTTGTGACTCTTGACGACATGGGCAAGCCAGCAGCGGCACGGCATGATTTGCTGGATGCAATGACTCAATGAACCGGCATTTTCGGCCGAGCTGCATACTGGCTGAACTGGTCCACGATGAGCTTCGCCGAAGTCAGCAAATTGAGGCCCACGTGGCCGTAGTCTGGAAGGTCCGCATAGTAGCACTGAGGGCTGGGAAGGGCTGGCAGGAACCCCCAGTCTCCTCTTGTCAGCGGCACCAGAACGTAGATGCCCAAGGAGGCAGCTTGCTCCATGAACTTCCTGTGCGATTTCTCGGGGTCGATGTTGTAAAGGCGGACGGTGTTAGCTCCAAGTTTCTTGATCAGCGGCAAATACTCGGAGAACTGGTCTGCCATCTCGTCCGCCGTTGGGTCGCCGTAGTATGCCAGGGGCGGGAACTTCGGGGTTCCGGCCTTGCACTCAGGCTTATGACTTCCAAGTACCTGCCCATAGTTGCCGTTCCGCGGGTTGTAGGCAATGCCCTTTGCGAAGAAGCGCTCGCCGCTGGCACTGAAGAGCATGTTTCCCCGAATAACTACGGGGCTCGCGGCACCGCCGGATCGCAGCGTGTGGTTGGATGCAGAAGTCATCCCGAAGAGAAGCGCAGCCAAAACGCTCCTCATTGCGACGGGCTGCATAGTGCAACTATCTGACAATGCCCGGGCGATCGCGTAGATAAACGGCTGCAACTAAGAAAGTCAGACAGCCAAATCTAGAAAGGACCTCCTTTTTCATTTCCACGAGCCATGCCTGCCCTGCTATGCTGACATGTCACCGAGAACCGGATGGTCTCATCCGCCTGGCTGCAGTGTGTCTGGTCCGAGCCTCGCAGCAACATACACTGCTTGTTCTCATATGCGAAGCATGCCGAGAGACACCAAGAACTGCGGACAAAGTTGATCCTGAACGAACGAACCCCATCGAGACAACGCAAGGATCAGGTCTTGCTGGCCCCATCAAGAGAACTTGCGTGATCACCCAAGTCTCCGCACGGTCTAATCGCGCGAAGGTGGTGGATGAACTTAACAAATCTTACCGCTGAAGCATCTGCATGCTGTGTTTCATAAGATCGCAAGGCGAAGGAGAAGGGCTCCGCTAACAAAAGACTTTTCATCAACATCCCCCGCCCGGGTGAACGTGCGTCATGACGGAGAGGTTCGGATCTCGTTCCGCTGACAGGTGGGTACTTGTGCGATTGTCTCAATTTCTTTCATGCTTACATTTATTCAATGGTGACGTGGCGGCTAAGTTTCCTCCCATGTCTTTATGTGCAGAGGATAAGGTGGGGTTGGATGAGCTGCCTATTGAGGCCAGGCGCAGAATTTCACGAGAGTCACCACTTCAGTGCCCTCGAGGAAAGGGACATGAACTAGAGCATGAATCGTGATGTTGCCAAGCACGTGGAACCTGCGTCATTTTTGCACAGAACTTCTGAACATGCGGGGAAGCCACCCTGAGGCGGATCAGAGCAGCTCGGATTTGCCCATTGACCCACCCACCCAGCCACAAACACCCT